TTCATAATAAACAGGTCACAATCAATGTATCGTGATAAATTCTGAAGCAGATTTTTTTAAATTAATATTTTTTTCGTGTTTAGTAACAGATATTCTCTCTATTTAGATAATTTTGAATGTTTATGTTTTCGTGTGACGTCACAATTAATTTCCCGCACTCGGAAAATACAAACGTGAAGCGTTTTTTTCATGCTTATGTCTAATTCAACGATGTCTTGTGCGATATTGAGGTAAGCTTCACCCTGTGATATTTATGCAGTAAATAATTACGATGAAGGACTGACATTAAATCGTAAATTTAGAAATATTTATTGACAGATCTAGAATTTTTTTCAAAATGAGGTTTTTGTCGTTGAAGCTGCCTTGAAAAATGCAAAAATTATCCCACCCAAATACTATATAAAATTAAAACAATTGCTTTCCGATAATTTAAACACTATGAATATTCTAAAATATTTGAGTATATAGTGTTATCTATCATATTTATCGTTTGGGCGTAAAAAATCGCATTATGGACTCTATTATGGGCCCGTAAACATGAAGTATCTAAACTCCATACAAACTCTAAATAGGGTGGTATTTGTGGGACGATATCTTTTAAATAAGTCAAGAAATCCCATGACAGGACCGTTTTTAAAATGTTAAGTACACATTAAATTAGTAATATAAAAAATACGAAAAAAATTCATTGACAGGATTTTTTTCAGGTAAAGGTCCTGTTCCTCCTTAAAATTTCTTCTCAAGTATGGCAAAATTATACATGTATGCTTTATTGATATAATTTCTCAAGTAATAAAGAAAAATCCTCCCCTTCCCCAACAAGTAAACTTTTCAATACTGAGCTGCATGATTTGAGTTTTTTTTTAACCAGCCCATGTGCTAAGGTGAGCGATGGCCCATGGGCCTTTTGTTTTAATTAGAATGTCACTTACCCTCCTTTGACTACACTGCAGCGTGCCTGTTGAAAGTGTGTGTGTGTGGGGGGGGGGGGGGGGGGGCTAATCTTCAATGCCTGTATTATGTCTATCTTTGCACCCCCCCCCCCCTCCGGTTCCGACGCACATGCACACGTAAAGCTTGCACCACCAGAATCGAGTACTGCAGTTAGCAAACCCAAGAAAGTTGCATGTAAATAGATTTAAGAAAAAGTTGTGTACAATTGATCTAGAATTTCTGTGATTTTTTATTTGTTCATTTATGCAGTCATATTCATTGTTATTGTATAAAGTTACGCGGATCTTAATTTGTGTCACCTGCAGGGCAGATCGACAGCTGTGGACACGGGAGATTCGAACCTAGAGCAACAACAAATAAGAATGGGTGGGTGAGGGGCGGGGACAGACCCTATATAAACAAGAGATGTTTCTTAAAAGTACATGTGATAACGTAATACCAGTTTAACATGGGGTCCATGTTACATGACTAAATTTTTGTTACATTATCCAGTATATAAATCTAATCACTGATTCTGTAAAATTAAAAAAAAACACTTATTAGTGATAATTTGTTATAACAAATTAATAAAAGGTACTGGTGCGGCCCTAATACGCTTCCGTAGTTTAGAGTATATATGCAATTACCCTTCATTTCACGATCCAGTGAAAAAAAATCAAACTCTAAGATTAAAAATCTGACTTCCAGTTTCCATCGGCAATCGCATGCATATAAATTACTAACAGTTAATTATAAATGAATAAGAAAGCCTGGAACCTAGCTCATTTTCGTAGATAAAAGAAAGACCATTTTAACGTTTTAACGCATTATTTTCATGAATTTTTAACATTTTGTTCTATACCTCTATTAAGCGTAATTTTTGTTGATAAACGCGAAACTTATGTTTTATAAAATCGAAACTGCCGTATGCATTAGTCTCCATTTTTCTCTTGATCAAATGATCTAAAACAATGGAAACAAAATACTTGTCCAGCTGTATTTTTTAAAACTTACTAGATGTCACAGTTAAGCTGATTTTTTTAAAGTCATCATTGGTAAGTCGGCATGCATTGAGAAAAAACCCCAAAATATTTTGACTGCGGATAAGAAAAAAAAAACAATCACATTTTAAAAAAAAAATCATAGGCCAACGGATTTTGAGAAAACTAGAGGCACTGTGAGCAATGTTCTCACTAAATCAGTGATACCCCCGCCTCCCATATGACTACATGTTTAATGGCAGTATCTATGTTTTGCTATGGAAACCCAAAATATGTGTCGGATAAAAAAGAAAAATAGGTGGTGCACATTGTCCATTCGTAATAAAGATTCTCTGAAAATCTCATTAAATTTCATTCAGTAGTATGAGAGAAGTTGGGGATAAGAGATGGGTACCCCAAAGCGTAACAGATACTATACTGAATGCCCTGATGTGTGTTCATGTCCGTAGGTACCTGGGGAGGGGGAACGGGTGGTCATGCCCCCAATAATTTTGCAAATAAATAGAGCACTATTATATAGCTCATCCAAAGTCAATTAAAGTGCCCCAAAACTAGTTTTCGATGTCACAAACAGTTTTTGAAGACAAAAACCCGCATCTTCAGTTGTTTAGGGGTTGAAATGTGATGTTAAGTTATGATCGATTTAAAAATATAGATATCACGATGTATTGATCCCGTTTACTATTCAAAAGTAAAGGATTTCTAAGCCTAATTTGATCAAAACAGGGTGTCACAAACAAGGGTGGTTTTATTCAGGTTTGAAAAAATAATTTAGGATTACCAATAAAAATGCTAAATATTGTATATCATAATAAAAAAGGGTTAAACAACTCATTTTTACTTATAATTTCTCTGCCATAGCCAAAAAAAAAATTTTGCACTGCGTAATTTGAATGTCCCATTTAATGCAGTGAATTACGTTACGATTTTCTCACTGCTTTAACGAAATTGTAAGTGGCATTAACGGTTACGTTACACGGATAAAATTGATTATTAACTTATCAAAATTTAAAAAAAATAATGATTTACAGGCATATGATAACATCTGTGTCAAAAAATTCACGAATTTTGAAAATTTTCCATTTTTGCATTTAATTGTGAATTACGTTACGCGATCTTACGCACAATTCCTAAATGCTACGAACATCAAATCTCCTGACTGATATACACACTTATGCCCATTATAAATCACACATAGACAATGCCTTAAACTGTTGTCATTAGTTAAATATTTGAATTAAAGTCGAAGTTCATGAACTACGTTACAGTGAATTACGTTATGATCAATTTTCTTTTTGTTATAAAAGAATCCTAACTAGGAGCAAAATTACCATGAATCTTTATTCAATGTCATCACTTATCATATAGGAACTTATAGAAAGGAAGTTTACAGGCGGGAACGGGTTTAACTAATGCAGCGGTTTAAAAACTATCTTAAAACTGAAAATTTTATTTTTAAATAAATAAAACTATTTCATCGTTCACATGGTTCATAGTGTTATAGGAATTTCGTTTTGAAAATGAAGGATATATGTGCTACTAAGATATCATAAATATAAAACATTGATTCGCTCGGTGTTTACATCAGGCAAGGTCTGTATGATAGTGTAACGTAATCCACAACAGTGTAACGTAATTCACAGATTACATAATTACAGTTTTAATCTTAGATAATGACTAAAATGATTAATGCTGAGCCCCAAAAGAAAAGTCGGTGGTAGGTAAAGGCCAAAGAAGGAGATAACTACCTGGAAAAAGAGGTCTAACGTGTAAAATTAAGTTTTATGTACCAACTTCAGAATTAACCCAAAAATCGCCTCATCTCAGTACAGGAATAAACAGATCTTTTTAATAGTAAAAGGGTCTAGAAAAGGTCCAAAATTTGTTGAAAGAACTAAATAGAACACACTTAAATAAGAAAATTCTCCTTACTTTAAACATTTGTTTCCATATTGACACTTACAATCTGGTATGTGAATTACGTTACATTGTTTGTTTTATAATGCAGATTGATTTTGAAATATAATTTGATGCTTAATCCCACCAAACTTAAGTGCAACGCCAGAAATCGTGTAGATATAATGTTTAAATCATCTGTAATAGGTACATGTACCGTAGTAATTCTGCACTTTCAGAATATACAGCTTTTGATTTCATCTGAAAAATACCAAGGTGTGTGAAATATGATGTTTTACAATGATAACAATCTAGATATATATTTATAATTATGATGTCTATTGCAAAGATATTGCAATATTTATAATCATTTTCTGTATTCTAATTTGTAAAAATGGTGTTGTTCAACCAATAATAATCATTAGTTTTTCATTTTAAGGATGAATGTGAATTACGTTACAAAGAAGACAGGTTGCTCCTGTCTCAAAATAAACGTTTACTTTGAATTCCAAAATGTAAAAACTTGAGAGTCTTTATATAAAAGGTATACATCTGCAAACACATACAAACTTCTTTGTTAATCTGAGTATGCGAGTTTAAACAAAGAAAAAATAAGATGTCATTTTCTCAAAATCCATATTATTAATTTTTCGTACATTAACTATGTGTTAATATGGAATATTTTTGAATATATGGTAAATTTTCAATTACACTGCGGTTTTTAATTGGATAGTTATATATAACTCTATCAAATACAACTACTTGAAACACCATTTTGAATCTACAATAATAATGTATTTAATTTTTTTGGTAACACCTTAAGAAATAACGTAATTCACTGCTAAAATTACATTGTATTTGTTCCATATGTGTGCAGAATATAATACCCCCTTTCAAGAGCTATCATATGTGTTTTCTGATCATTCGAATATTGTTCTATCAAAATCAAAGCATTTCCTTTGTTTTCTGAGTTGAAAATCTTCAGCCGTTTTTTGAAACTGTTTGGGGCACTTTAACTGACTTTGGATGAGCTACGTTAGACTTGTTGTCCCTCGAGAACAATCTGTCCATTCGAGCAGAATGAAGAATTACGTAAAATGATAACTATTTGAACTTTGTCGTTTTTAATTATGGTGGATTTGTTTTTAAAAAATATTAAAATAAACAATATTTAATTTTTAAATTGTATTTATTTTTTATCTCTTATAATTAGGAAATTAGAACATGTCTGTTCATTCCATGTCAGTATTTTTCTCTCTTCTTAAGTTTTCAAAATGAGTTAATTTTACTTCCGGAAAAGTACGTATAATATCCACCGTGTATGAATGTGGCCGGAACGTGCCAAACTCTTATCCAAACTTTGTTTCCCTTCTTCAACTCGTAGATCAGCTGACCAGACGTGCTGATATATTGACTTTGCTGGTTCCCGATGCACGTATGGGCATGATCGAAATTATCTACTGTTGCAGCAATATACACGGTGCCTCCTTTTGTTGACAGGAAATTCCAAGCAAAAGAGTAGACCCCCTCCTCCGGGGCAGTAAAGATGCCGGTTTCTGGGTCGTAAGCCCCGCCCCTGTTTAACTGGACGTTGTTGAATTGAATGGTTGTATTTACCGGGACATTGGTAAGATGGGACTTTATGTTGGCATGGAAGGCAATAATGTGGTTTGCGGTGCAATCTACATGACACAAAAATGGATGAATTAATTCAATATCGCATTCGAGATTTTTCCACTCATAGAGAGACGTCTTCAAAAATAATTTTTTTCTCATTTCATTTTTGTGGTATGAAATATTTCTATACAATAATTCGTTGAAAATTTGTGTAATTTAAAAAAAAAATTACTTGAAGGGGTAACAATTTACGTATTTTTTCTGCAAAGGCTGTGCGCATCATTATTCTCTTACTAATAACCAAGAAAATATATTTAAGTGTTTATATTTATATATGTGTACACATAATTGATTATTGTATCTAAATGAAAGGAGACAATACTAAGTGGAGTTTAATATTAGTATTTTTACTTGAAATAATCACATATTTACAATTATGCCCTCCATTTATCTTATGCTAGACAAAATGTCTGTATTGTGAAGAATGTCTGAAAACCAGTTCCCTGTTGGTCCTGCAGCTTTGTTAATTTTACCTCCTTAAAACACTACAAAACATTGTTTGATGAATATTGTCATTTATTAATGACGAAGATAACAACTAATTACAAATAAACTACCTTAACTACTAGGGAGATCCCAGACAAACGTACAGAGACTTATTGAGCACCTAATATCACAATGGCAGCGGGATCTCCCTAAAGTCTAAGCAAGACATGATTATCATTGATGAATGTACATTTAGAAGATGGGAGATCACCAGGTAACATATATACAACAATGGCAGGGGGATCTCCCTGTGATATGAAAAATCAAAACAATGTAAAAATTAAGTGATGCAAACCTTGCTTCGGTTCCCAGCCCAGTTTTTTACAGGCACTTCTGTAACCATTCATGTCTCCCATGAACTCATTTGGAGATGAAGCTCTTACAATGGACAATGCAACAACAACAAGGACCATCACGGTAGAAACGATAGGCTTTATCATCATTCTATATTAGCTGCAAAAATTTTGATGCATTACTTTTTACTACCTTATGATTTTTTTGTAATTAAATAAATACATCCTTAGATATAACATTAAATTAAAATTATATTGATATCATATTGCTTGCATGCATCTATTATACGATATTTCTGATAATCCTTTCTTGTTTTTTTTATTTTTTTGTGGATTTTTAATTTAATCACACACTATGTAGACTTTTAAATTAATTTTCTGGTTTCAATTAAAATTCACTGCAATTTCATACTCGAACACTCTTCAAAACGATAAACGCAAAATACAAAACATCACGAACACAAAATACAATGTACTGTACAATCTATGCAAAATACGATAGACCTGATGAATGATCATCACGATAGAATAACTGAAAAAAAAAACGAAAAAAAGAAATGATAAAATTACTTCAAAATGCAAAATATTATTGACAAAACGAAGTGTTCCTTATTTCATGAAAAAATAGCTTGCAAAGCTGCATATATTTACGAAAAAAATATTTTACGTATGTCTGCGTACAAAAAATTCTGAAACGAGGAAAACTGTTGACAATAAAATTGATGAAATAGACTGACAGATCGATATAGGGGGTGGTTGCTTCTTCAATAGCACCTGATCCTACCCTTAAATTTGAAGAAGCGTGTGTTCATCTTCCATTGACGGACATTTGAAAATGATTATTGTTTGTTATTTTCATATTTCATGGAAAATAATTTACTTCACTTTGATTGCAATATAATATAACGAGGAATTTTCTGAAAAAGAAAAGATTTTGAAATGTATTTTTGATATACTATTTTCATGATGATGACAACTTACCCCTCCCCTGAATACTTCCGTTAAACGGTTTTGCTCCTATTGTACATAAGATTTACACAGATAAATGAGAACTGGAGTTCCATTACCAGTATATATAAATGTTATCATCATGCATAATAAATAAGATACAATTTTCGTAATGTATATTGTACATGTATTATTAAATGGTGGCTGAAATCACCTGGTACGTATACTTATCTTAATATCCTTGAATATACAATTATTCTTTGATGTTCCATGGCATAATTTTACAAGAAAAAAATTAGCCTGCATATAATTGCTCTACATAATCTTAGCAATTAAGAAAATAGCATACACAGCACCTTCCGTATTATGACAAATCCAGTCAAATTCAAGCCGTGATACTTTCATGTACAATAATTTGGATACTTTTTCTTGTGAAACACACAGCAACTCATGGCAATCATTAATTATCTCAAATGCAAGGGTTTAAATCATTTCTATACAGGGAGGTGTTCTTGTCTAAATGAATATATGAAATATAAAAGCCGAAGCACTTACCATTCAATAGTTATGACCAAGGTTAATGTTTAATTTATGAAATTAAAGCATACTACCCGGTATATTGTACAGGGTGAAGGCGTAATTTGTTGTTTCTCAGTATATGATCTTGTCACAAGGAATACCCATTTGAACGGTTAAGGACCTTGTCAATTATTTCAATGTTCTCTTGTTAGTTGATTGCAATTACATAGAACATTACTTTTGACAATATCAACAGAATAATTGAAATACCTCTTAAAATATTCATTACTTTAGGATAAGTAATGAGGTTTAAAAGTCCCATATCCGCAGATCACTCGATCATATTGATAAAATAATAATGATTTCATATGTAAATTGTACTTTGGTAAAATTTTTCAGAACTCACTTTTTGCAGACGTCTTTTATTGATACCCATCACTTATATTTTTCTTTATTAGATTTTCTTTCATTATTTCAACGTAAGAATATACGAATTCATATTGGTTATCAGCATCAGATGCTAGATGTCTCATGTATTTTCGTTGATGATGCTTAAACAATTATAAAATTATTTTATTTTTGCGAAATAAAACCGCAGGTTTCCAACGATAAAGATACGTTTATAATTAGTAATAGAAAACATTACTTAATATGACATAACTACTTCATATTTATTATACTGGAAAGAAAAATCAACAAGGGAAACCAGGAATGACATTGTACGCAAATATGTTCTGTCGTGGGGTCGGATGTTGACTGTTCATACACATATTTAGCTGCAGAACTGTAGCGTTATGGTTTTATATATTTGTCTTTGACCATAACGCTACAGATCCCGTAATGCAAAAAATGTGCAATTTACCGTGCAAGATTTTTTGCGCACTTATGGGGAGAATTTCTCCACATTCCAGCATTGGTCAATCAACTACCCTTCACTCCCAAATTCTAGAGACATTTTTACCAATCTGTGTATTATATCCACCTCCTATCCTTTTATAGTCGTCTCTACAGGCGACAAACTCGCTTGAGGTGAATTTTCAGCAATCTTAAAGTTAATTCTAATCAAGCGCGTTTATCATTTTCAGAGACGACTATGAAGGGTAGGGAGGTGGATAAAAAAAAATACAGATTGGTTAATGAATGTGTGTAGAATACGGGAGCGAAAGATATTTGGTTGACCACATTTTATGCATTACGGGATCTGTAGCGTTATGGTCAAAGACAAATATATAAAACCATAACGCTACAGTTCTGCAGCTAACACATATTCAGGCAAAGAAAAAAACCACAGGGCGGATATGGTTGGTCAACATGGGGTGCTTACCCTTCTTTGCCTCTTTGAGGTTCGTGTTTGATCTGCCCAAAATTCATATTTTTTCAGCTTGGTTAATTTTCCTTATAGTCACATTTCTTTGCAAATACTTGTTCAAATTTTCAAATTACGTAATACTCTTAGACTATCCTTTTACAGTGTATTTCTTTCATGGTTGCAGAAGAAAATATATTCTGATATAGATTTAGGTACAGTATGATTTCGTAACCCTATTTTAAATACATAACGAAGTAAAATATAAATTTTCCTACAATTTACTGTGTAATATTTGAACCTGTAAAATGTCACCTCTGCGGGTTATCCCATGCAATAAAAAAGATTTGTATAATTTCAATGGACTTTCAGCTTCAATACTGGTCGTTATCTCAGTGTTTCATTTCTACACATACCTTTGCTTGTTTTCACTGGATTGTACATATTAGAATTAAATGTAAATTCATTTTTAAAAAAAGTACTTATCTCACTTTTTTATCTATGAGGAAAAATGAAAGTGATTTCCGACAACTGTGAATGAAACATAAGTCTCTATTGTAAAAGTCATAAAAGTTAGATGTGGAAACCTCAAAATATTAACATGCAGTATAGATTTTCTTTTTTCAATTTACTTACATTGTCTACGTGTCAGTTCTGTGTGTTACTCCAACAAGCCCCAGTGTTGATAGTGAAAGATATTAAAAACTAAACCTATAAAATAAACAGAAGTCTGGGCACTCTATATAAGTGTATGGAGATTGTGATTGGTTGCTTTGTAATATATGGAGTGATGTTCATTTTGACAGTTGGATTTGATTGATTTCTTTTTCAAAAAGGCCACAGCCCATCATGCTGTCTCCCAAATACGAATGGATGAAATATATGGAGATTACGAACAGTATTCAAGCTCAAAAGTCCATCACACAATACAAAATAGGAGCAGAGCAAACACTGACCTCAAAATGATCAGAGGTAGGATTTGGTGCCATGGAGGAGTGAGCACCCTGCCCTGCCGACCGGTCTCACCCGCCATGTGCACCTTGTCATGATCGGGAAATGACAGGAAAATCCGTCTAAGTCTGGTTTGTGGCAAATCACGTGACGTCGTCTTCAAATTTGTCCCTGTTTGGGATTTAATATTGTTTCCCTTTCCAAGACAAAACAGATATAGGAGTGTCATAAACACATAAAATATAATGACGATAGTGTAGAAACTATCTTTAAACGGTATATAAAGAGATTGTAGTCAGTTTCGCATCAGCATCTATGCTAGGAAAAGCTACGAATATAAGGTTAATGATTTTGAAACCTGTGCTGTAATAGGATATTCCCATAGGTACCAACTGCGTTCTTAAACCTGAGATAATCATTATGCTTATTGTGGCTTTTAATGCGACATTAAATATGTGGACGTTATATTATTAATTTCCAATGATCACTTCCCTTATTTATTTATATAGAAATAAAATTTTCTCAACTGCTTCTAAAGTGTGAGTCCTCCAGTTGATTCAATTCAATTTAATACATGCTCTACGTACCTGGACCAACAATTTCTAAAACTGAGGCATCTATTGACAAACAAGATGATGCAAAAAAGGAAATAAGCAGTCTTCTCATTTAAAGTCAACATTTAGCTCTTTCTATGGTCGATGTAATGACCGTATAAGGAAATACAATTTATCACTAATGAATAAGTCGAATACAGACTGATTTTATAAACAAATTGTTAGGTTATTATCAACACACTAAAGTGTACATAGATTTTTCGGATTGTGTAATCAGGACAAGGAGAATTTAGGAGGTGTCAACAGAGACCGCGTACTATAAGTAATAGTACTTTACTCTCACATTTATTGTTTCATTGAACTTTTGAGCTTGATAACGGATCATTATCTCCATTTTTTTTTATACTTCCTCTCAGATGTGACTCGATCTTGAACTTGAAAAAAAATACACAACTCTCTCTCTCTCTCTCTGACACATCTGTTTCATATTTTTAAATTTTATGATCGAGAAAAAGACTTAAACGGTAAACTTATAACAAAACTTTATATGATAAAGTAGATGTGTGCAACTTTTCTATCGACAATATATACATGTACCCTATCTAAGCAGCAATATACCATTATCCCCTGCATATTGGGTTTATTTCTAAAAGTTAATTTGATACTCAATATTATGTACTCAACTATTGAACAATACAACGCAAACTACTGACAAACAAGATATTGAAACAGGGAAATAAGCAATTTGCTTGAAATTAACGTTTCTTTCTCTTCTATGCTCCGTATACCCGATTGCACCTTTTAATGTTTTGAAATGTTCTTTTTAATGTTTTGAAATGCTCCTTTTTTTCTCTTCTCTCTTTCATTTTTTGCCATTTGAGCTTGAATACTGTTCACTTCGATATCTCCATATTTCATCTAATGAAAGGGATAGTGTAACAGCTTGATCAAACGAAAAATTAAAATTGGTATCAATTTATTGATGTAATTAACACCTCTTACTGAAATAGGAGACAAATGAACTTTATTGTACCAGCTGTCTATCTCCTTTGTTACCTTAACAACGCAGCAAAACAATGATCATGATTGGTAACAACAACTTGTGTTGCCTATATTCAACGGTTAGAAAAGGGTTATTATTAAATTTACTGGTACATGTACTTTATTACACATTGTACAGTATATGGATTTGATATGCTGTACGGTGTATCAATAGAAATACTAAAAATCCAAATGATGCTCTTTTCAAATTATCAACTATCTAGTGTGTATATTTAGTTCATGGATACATCCTTAGCACACCTTGTACAAATAATCATTAATTTCAGATAATATAAATCGTGTGTTTTGAAATTCAAAATATATTTCGTTAACATAAAATTTGTATTTGACAAAACACAGAGGCTATATTGTAGACATGTCCATTTGTCTTCAGCAACAACTTGAGAAACCTATATTCAACAGTTAGAAAAAGGTTATAATTAAATTTACTCGTACTTTATTTCACATTGTACAGTATAAGGATTTGATATATTTGATTAGACATGTCCATTTGTCTTCAGCGCATTTTCATGTATGTTTAGAATTTTTTATGTTTAGTAGGGGGTCAACTGAAGATATATGTATGCTATATATGGCAATGTTTTTCAATGTTTTGAATTCTTAATTAGTCTTGATTCCCCTTTTTTTCTATGTATATCATGTTACAATGACATTATGGTGCAGGGGGTCAGATTGTGCAATATTGTGTTTAAGATACGTAATATTTTATATTTAAGTCACCTTTCCTGACCTCCTTTCTTGTAT